CAGCCAGACTCCTCCCATCTCCATGCATGTGGATGACTTCTCCCCCTTCCCTGTCTGGCCACCAGGGGGAGCAGCAGCATCAACCCTGCCCCCTGCCCCCCAACTTGTCCTGCCCCAACTGCACCCACCTTTGGGGTGCAGCATCTCCATTCCCAGCATGCCCTGGGCCCTCCCCCTTGTGAGTGTAACTCTTGATCCTTTCCTTCATGGTGGAAGAGGATCAGTGGCACCTCTAACTCCCCTGGGCAGGTTTCCCAGCTGCTAATTAAGTCTCCTTAATCCTGGGATTGGGTTGGCCCCAGACCCAGGCACTGCTAGAGGGAGTGGGGGTCATTTCTCAGCTCAGGGTCCTCCCATGCTCCTCTGTTCAGGGCTTCTGCCTTCCTTTCTGGGGGTCCCCAGCACCAGGATGCAGCTAGTTCTGGGGTGGGGGAAGCAGAATAGAACAGGGATTCTCCTAGGGCTGAGTTGCAGCTAGTTCTGGGGTGGCAGAAGCATGGCTGAGTGTAATGGGCTTGGGCTGTAGATACAGCCAGCTCTGGGGTGGGAGAAGCAGAGTAGAACACGGATCCTAGGCCTAAGAGGCAGCTAGTTCTTGGGTGAGAGCTCGGCCAAGTATACCCTGGACCTGGTGCTGGGATGCAACCGCCTCTGGGCTTGTTTGTGCAGGGGAAATAGGTTGAATAGTGCATCCAGGGCACCGGGAATCTGCCCCTTCCCTCCCCCCTCTGCCCTGGTGGCCACACACGGAACAAATGCATCACAGGGGCCGTTCTTGGTCCCATCCCCACCATTCGTGAAGTGTCACTTTACATTTGTTGGGTTTTTTTTTTGTGTAACTTGAGTTTGACTATTTTCTGTTTCTCTCCATGGTCAATAAACTGCTCAGTCTGTCTCTACGGGGTCCCGGCTGTTGGAGTGTGTAAGCGCAGAGCCAGCCACACGCTGCAGCTGACTCGGGGGCGAGACTGGGGTGGGTGTAACGGTGCTGGGGGTGGCTGGCCCTGGGAGGGGGCTGAGTGTAACAGCGCTGGGGGAGGCTGGTTCGGTGCGGGGCTGGGCTGGGTGTAGCAGCATTGGCGGTGGCTGGCTTTGGGCAGGTGTGTGTAGCTGAGCTGGCATTCCCCCACCAGCGTCTGGGGGGCGGGGGAGGGCAGGGTATAGGGACTCGGGACTGGGCGGTTGATCCCACTACTCTCCTGCGTAGCTTCCTGGCACAATAAGTTCTACTTGGGCCTGGCCTCCGCCTCTGTGTGCGTGTCACTGCCGAGGTCCTTGATTTTGGCCAACTGGGGAGCCATGTTCTTCATGGGAGGGGGAGGTCAGATTTTTCTTTAAATACTGTGTTTTCCATCCATGGAGTAGCGTGTGCACTCTTTTCACCCCCCC